AACTAACTTAAATCTTGATTTACAATCATTGTATCACTTCAGTTATTTTAATAGTAACCATGGGCTGATTAATCCGGTTTCCATCAGCTTTTCTGAACCTTGCAGCCATCATGTCCCAGATTTAGCTCCCTTTCTATTTTGTATTTCCCTTTATCTTGTTATCTTTAATTTCAACCTGTTAATTCAAATATTATTACTGATTCTCGGCCACTCCAAACTCCAAATTAAAGTTACCAAACATGTTACAAATCAGACCAAGTTAGCCTCAGCTAGCTTAGTTAGAAAACAGCAAAGGGGTGAGATGAACGCAAACTAGCTCTAATTATTTATTTTTTTAAATAAAAGTGCTTTAGACTGTGCGTTTAAGAAACACCCCAAGTGTAGAATTTCACGTGAACCGATTGTTACCATTATTGCGAGACTGCAGCCTTTGCAAAGAAATAGCACTAGCCTACTGCTAACGCTATCCAAATACAAAAGGAAAACTTACCACCCGCTTCGGTGAACACTATATAAAGCTATGGCGAGCACGCTTTTTACGTCTACCAACTACACAGCGTTTAAAATACATAAATGTGAGTAAAAGTAATGAAGTAGTTATGCTAGTTAGCCGACAGGCTAACTTGCGTGTGTGAATCGCAAACTAGCAGACCTATCATGCTGGATAAAAGGCGCTGTTGCGATTGGTTGTCAAGGAACCAAGCAAAAGTGACGTAAAAACATGACCGACAAAAAACTTTCACGGAGAGATTTTATTTAAGAAGCTTTTATGTTTAAACAAGTAAACCAAATATATCAAAAATACATAGGCACTAAATCACTCTTGAAAACGTAGACACATTCATTGAAAAGAGCGCCTTTTTGATGGGTTATTTGTATTTTTTTTATGGATCAAATTATCTAAAAAAAAAAAAAAATTAATAAAAACGTTCCCGGAGTTAAACGGCGTCACATCCTCTTCCTTTTTCGTTTAGGGGCCTGCGAGTAAAGAAAACAAGGTTAATTTAGCTACGTTTTTCTTATTCATCCAGCTATCCACTTTAAATAAGCGGTGTAAAACAAGCTATAGCAGACTAAGGTTGGTTAATCTCCTCCTGCAGATGAATTCATCCGGTTGCTGCTGCTTCAGTCGCACCGGGCTAAGGGAGCGTCTTTAAAGGTATGTGCGAGAAAGAAACGTGAAGATGCGCAGTTTGGGAAGCTTTCTATTTATTCCAACATCTTCAGCTACCTAAATACTAGACAACGAAAACCATATATGTGCTTTGACGTATAGCATATCAGCCATTAATTACAAAGGTAAATCTTTAATTCGAAATGTGATTTATTTTAATACAATGGATACAAATTAGGATTATTTAATAAGTAAAGTCCTGCAAAGATCTTTGTAAAATGTAAACTAATCCACATTTTGTCACAGTATTGCAACAAAGCTCAAGTTTATTATGTAAATAATTAGAATATTTTATCTGGATTTTATGTGTCCAATAAGAAAGATGTAAGGAAGAGGATTAGGGCCACTGAAAAAAAAAAAAAAAAAAGTTGCATTTAGATGCATTTAGGGTTGCAACACTTTTTTTTTCTCGTTTTTCTCAGTCACTCCTGAACAATGAGGCCACCCCCTTATTTAAATGATAAACTTACATATGTCTGCTAAATGACCATTGCATTGAACTTTAATTACCTGGGACTGTTTCTATTCGTAAAAAACAAAAAGAAGAGAAAAGAAATAACTGATTTTTTAATATTATTTCAGCTTATGTGGGGAAAAAAGGTCAGAATTCTGACTTAAACCTCAAAATTTTGACTTTTTTCTCATAATTCTGATGCAGTGATTAAATACAGAGAGTTCATTTCTCCATTGGGAGATCAAATTAAAATTTATCAAACCGATGATCCTTCAGCACAAAAAATAAAACAAAATTGTTAATGGTTAATATTTGTTTAAACCCAAGTCTTCATTAAGTGAAGTTACCGATAATAGATGGAGCCAGAAACTATAGTAATAGTAATACTTTATCATAATTTTTACTTAAGTAAAAATAGAAATTACAATGCTGTAAAAATAGGAAGTACATTTTCTTGGTTATTTTAATTCAAATTTTATATTATATATATTTATTTATATAACTTAAAATATATATATATTATTTCAAAAATTTTTACAGATTTTTTTTAGAATTTCTTTTCACATTTTATTTCTTCAAAAACAATTCTTTACATGTTTTTCTGTTTTCATTATTTTTTTTAATCAAATTTCTCTTTTTCAGATTGAGTTTTACAAATAGCATTCTTTTCAAACTGCAGATTAAATTCTCCTCAGTTCAAGCCCGATGCAAATGCTTGCAAGTGTTCAGGTGTTCAAATAAAATATAAATAGATTTTTTTTCCCTTAAGGTATTATTTTTAGGGTCAAATCCTCCAGAAACAATTAAAAAAATATACAAATATGAATTGCTTTTAGTATCCATACCATGTCAAATGACTACTGTATTTGAAAACAGTTTTTATAAAAAACCTAAAACATACGCAGAACCTGGAAGTTAATATGAAAATAACTTTGCATTTGAAAGGATAAAATATCCTTATTTGATTGTTGCTGTTTTTTTTTTTTTATCAGAGCAAGCAAAGAAATAAAAAAAATATTATTTTTATATTTATGCAGAAATGAAGATACAAAATGTTTAACGTCTTTCCTTATCCGGCTGCAGCGAATCAGGATGCCTGCTTTGGAAACCAGCCATGCACAGCGTGTCCTTTCCTCCCTAAACCAGCAGAGGGCAGCGGGGAGATTCTGTGATGCTCTGCTCAATTTGGGAGATGGTGTGCTCTACATGGCTCACCGAAATGTCCTCGCCTGCTTCAGCGATTTGTTCCAGGTGTCTGTCTCAAACTCCAGCCAGCCTGCAGAGTTCTCCCTGCAGGGTTGCCCCAGCGACGGCCTTGACCTGCTTCTGAACTTCGTCTACACTGGAGAGCTGAAACTGGAGGTGAACAACCTGCAGAAGGTGCAGCAAGCAGCAGCCAGCCTGTGCGTACCAGAAGCCCTCAATCTCTGTCAGCAGTTCCAGGTTAACTCTGGGGTTAACCCCGTCACTTTGAAACGGAGAAGAGGTCGACCCAAAAAATGTCAGACAGACACTGTTAAGGAAGAGAACCCTCTGATGGTCCTGACAGAAGAGTCCAGGTTTGATGCTTCTACAGCTGGTTTTATCATCCTGGATGATGCTGCTGCTCCCACCAGCAGCACCACCACACGCTCCGGCCGAGTAGTGAAGGGCCCTAAGAGACTAGTGACTGCTGATGCAAGCCCAACATCAGATTCCAAAACTGCTCTCAGTCCTGTGGTGAATGAGATGTATGCAGATGCAGCCGAACATCTGAAATCAAATCCGTCAGCTGCTGAATCTGAGGTAAAGTAAAAACACATCCACATAAGGATACAAATAATCTACAGGTCCCTGTTTTCCTAAAGTTACTGCTGCAACTTTAAGGTTACTTCTCAGCCAGTTTGAACATTGGAAAGTTTAATATTTCAGTTCATTTTTAGCTACATGGATTATGTAACGATGGCTTTCCAACGATTGCTATATTGGTAAA